GCCTTACCCATTAGCTTCCAGTGTCGGACGGTCTGGAGCAGCGTCCTATGTGCGGGTCATCTTGAACTGTCGTCACAGAGGGTACATGTGTGCTTGGGAGCGGCCCAGTCGTATCCACGAAGTGGCATTCCATGTGCGTGGTAAAGCGCCCGTCTCACTGGTTGATACCGACGTAGTGGCCAGCATGATCGTCTGTAAAGACCCCGATCTGATCGTGCATGAGAGCCTCACATTTCCAATCGAGGACCTGGTGCTGCGCAAGAACGGCAAGAGCGTGGTGCTGTGCCTGCTGGAGGTGGCGCGGCGCGGGGCCCGCCTCGGCCTGCTCGCCCCGCGCCTCGTGCAGTTCGAGCAGGAGATCGAGCGGGAGCTGCGCGCCGCGCCCGCGCCCGGGACGGACGCCGCCGCCGCCGAGGCCGGGGCCGGGGTCGGGGCCGCCGCCCCGCCGGGGGCTCCGCCCCGCGCGCCCCGCATGACGCCCAGCGACCTGCGCAACCTGGATGAGCTGGTGAGTGCGCCCCCGGCCTCGGGGTCAGAGTCCTGGCTCCCTGGCTGTGCCAGCTGTGCACCTGCTAAGCGCTTGCCTGCCCGCCTTCATCTGCGGGCTGCGGGGAGCCGTGGGGGGCCGTGGGCAGAGTGCCTGGCCTGCGCCCCTGCCCAGAGAGGCCCGGCCAGGAGGGGCTGCCCCTGCCCAGGGTTGGGCCCACCAGCTCCCTCCTCTCCCCGGACCAAGGCGTCCCTGCAGCCCCCGCGGCCGGGTGCAGTGTTTCTTTCTTATCTGCGCTCAGGGCTGCCCTGTGCCTGCCCAGGAGGCGGGAGCCGGATGGCTGCGGGCAGAGGCGGCCGCCCCACCCCCGGCCTGGGCCAGGGTCACCCAAGGCCCCACCTGCTCATTTCCTCCGGCGCCTCTGTGGGCAGGGAGGCGGGCAGGGCCGCCCACACAGCCAGCCTGGCAGCACCGGGCCGGGAGCGCGTGTGCGCTTGTGGGCAACCCAGGCGGGTGGCCTGTTTGTGCTTGTTGGGGTGTGTATCCCACGTGTCTGTGGCACACCCCACACACACACACACACAGATGCCCAGCCTGCAGCTGTGTCCTGGGGCCTGCAGCTCTGTGTCGTTGTCTGCTCCAGGGTCCCTGCAGGCTCGGGGGCTCTTCATCCCGGTCCTGGGCCTTGGGCCTGACCACAGCCCCATCATCGGGTCTTGCTCAGCTCCCCACCCTGCGTGCCAGGGGGAGGGGCCAGTGAAAGGTGCCCTGTGGAAGCCACACCCACGCCTGGGACAAGCCACAGTCTCCACCCCCTGTCCCCGGAAGGAATTACTTCCTCCTGACCCCTGACCTCGCCTGTCCCTGTGGCCTCAGGTGAGGGAGATCCTGGGCCAATGCACCTGTCCAGACCAGTTCCCCATGATCAAGGTCTCCGAGGGCAAGTACCGCGTGGGCGACTCCAGCTTGCTCATCTTCGTGCGGGTAAGTGGGGGCTGCCCTGCACGGTGCGGCCGGGCGGGTGGGCTGCCCGCCCCCGGGGACAGCCCTGACCCGCCCACGCCGGCTCCCGCAGGTGCTGAGGAGCCACGTGATGGTGCGCGTCGGGGGCGGCTGGGACACGCTGGAGCACTACCTGGACAAGCACGACCCTTGCCGCTGCGCCTCCGCCGGTGCGTACCTGGGCCAGCGGCGGGCGGGCGGGCGGGGCGAGCGGCTGTGGCTCCGCCCCTCACATCCCGCGCCCTCTCCCTGCAGCCCACCGCCCCGTGCAGCCGAGGGCCCGCACCTTCTCCCCCCAGAGGGTGTCACCCATCCCCAGCCCCCGCCCTGGAAGCCCAGTCCTCGGGGCTGAACGCCGGGGCTCCCGGCCCGAGGTGACGCCTCTTAACCTGCGAAGCACAAAGGAGGGGCCCGACACCCC